ATCAGCCGCCAAACCCTTAACCCAGACCTGCACCCTCAGCGCGGCTGCAAGCTGAGAGGCTACCCTCTCCTGCAACGCCTGGAAACCGTGTGTGGGAGGCTACGAACACAGGGTTCCATTGTGTGACTACCCAAAGGTAGATCCAAACTCCGGTAAACAAGGGGGTCCTTGATTGGGGATAACTATTGAACCAAACTTCCTCACGCAAAACGAAAACACACCTGCGCAGGTTTTGCACTTTTTCCAAGCGCCATAGTGGGATTTGCAGAGGGGCAGTACTTCAACCATGGATAAAAAGAGGGGGTGTTCTGATTCTTAACAAACGGGGCTGGCCCAAATCTGGCAGTTGCCCTAAAACTAAGAAGGGCGCGGATTTATTCTGGTTTCTTGCTTCTTCTTTTTTCTTCGTCTTGGCCAGGAAAATGTTGTATTTTACAGCATTTTCTCCCCCCGCATGTTCGACCAACATCCCCAGCATCACCAACACAAACTAAAAAGTAGCTGGCGGGTTGACGGGGTCGAACAAATGATGATTCACGTAGGAGGGCATTTCAATCCCTGTAAATATATGTATATATATATATATATATATAAAAGTAGCGGGGGTTTGGGGGGGGGGGGGTTGGGCCCCCCCATGATGTTCGAAGAAGTGATGATTCATAGGGGTGCAATTAAATCTCTGTATACATCTAAAAAGTAGCCGGGGGTTGGGGGGGGGGGCGCAGCCCCCCCTCCATGATGTTCGAAAAAAATGATGATTCAATCAGGGATGCAGAGATTCAAGAAACATATATACATGCAGACATACATGGACATAGATATAAAGAACACTTGCCACAGAGGAACCGGTGCCCGAATTCCGAATCCCCGAATCCGAATCCGAGGATGGGGTCCCGAATCCCGAATCCCGAGTCCCAAATCCTGAATCCGAGGACGGGACCTTCCCAGTCCGAATCCCAAATTCGAATCCCGAATCCAAATGTGATCAGTTTCGACCTCCTTCTTGATCACCACTCGGTTTCCTTTAAAAGGGACACTGTGGTGGGTTCCAAAAATCCACGAGCGACTCGCATAGGCGTCCTTCTTGAGCGGAAATAGATGGCCGTCGAAGATTATTAAGCCACCAGGTAAACCAGGGCCATCGATTTTTCTACCCAGACGCTCCCGATTGACTTTGGGCCCTCAAAAATATAGGTTTTGAGACCCCACCCCTCTGGGGTGTCCAATGGAGGGCCTAGGTCTTCCATTGGAAGCCCCAGGAGCGTCTGGGTAACAAAACAACCAAAAAGGACACCTATGCAAGCGACCCAAACTGCGACCCAGGCCTTTGCCTCGCGCTCGGTGGCCTTGCGCTCGCTGGCCTCGCGGACTTCCCGAGCTTCGCGCTCACGCGCCTTGGCAGCCGCGTCGAGTGAGGCCCCAGAAACGCGTCCCGTAGTGAACAGTTGGGTGTGTGTGTGTGTGTGTGTGTCTGTGAATTTTAGGGGATCTCCAAAATCGTGATATGTTCCCTGTGGCTTTCCTTTACCCAGATGCTTCCGATTGACTTCCCTCAAGCATCCAGGTCTTGAGACCCCAAGACCCCAGGGGTGTCCAATGGAGGGTCTGGGTGTTGCGTTGGAAGCCCCAGGAGCGTCTGGGTAAATCCATAAACAAGAGGGGTACCCTCAAAGAAGAGTCGCCCATTTGAGTGGCCAGCGTGCTATGGCTTTCCAGCGGAGTTTCGTCAAGCTACTGCAATGCTTTCAGAACCGGTTTTTGGGGATTCACTTAAATTAAGGAAACTCATAGGGGATGGTTTTCGGGGTCATGCCCTCATTCCGGCAAGTTGCTTGCTTACCTTTATGGGTCCGCTAAAGTGGTAAAGTTTTGGGGGTCACACACCCCGATGATTGCGCATCACTATGGACACTCGTGAAATCTGTCGGGTAGATTCGCGAAAGCCGCATTTTACAGGACTAGATCCTTTCGACCATCCGGATAAATAACACCTTTTCGAACACCAAAACCGGAAGAAGAAAAAAAAGGAAGAAGAAACAAAGGGGGGAACAAAAAGAAGAACAAAAGGGGGAGAAAAAAACGCGCGCTGACATGATGTTCGGTCGTCCGGATCGGACATTCGGTTCCTCCGGGCCCGGGCTCATGCTCACTCTCATGCCATGAATCAAAACCCAAATCGGTGAGCCCCCAGTGAACATCCCGATCCCCATTAAAATCGGCTAAAAGGGGTGGTGCACCTATCCCAAAATGGGATCCCATTGGCCATGTTTCACCCGGAAGTTTTTGGATCTGGGGTGAGCAGAGCGGGCTCTGCTCAGATGCCACGCGGTGGGAACAGCCGTCCCCCTCTCAGACCTCTCCTAATGTTGGATTCTAGAGGAACATGTAAATCTGACGAGTCCCTCTGAAATAAAGTGCCCAAAACCCGTTGACCGATCCTCGCCAGGCGCTGACATTTATACATAAGAAAAGTAAAGAAACTAGAAACATGTGTTGTTGAAGAAACATAATAAGAACTCGAATCATTAATAATAATATAATCATAAGTAATAATGTTAAGAAGAAGAAGAAAAAGAATATTGGCCCCAAGCACAAAAACCATCAGCTTGAGCCCGGACCAGGCCTCCGCCTGGCTCGCCTGGAACTGCTGCAACTGCTGCGCCTGGTGCATCTGGTACATCTGCTGCATCTGCTGCGGGCTGTGCATTTGCCAATGCTGGTACTGCCACTGCTGCAGAGTCTGCGGCGGCGGATGCAGCTGCGGCTGCATGAGCAGCTGTGGCTGCTGTGGCTGCTGCCATGGTTGCATCTGCCGTTGCAATGGCAGTGTCTGCGTTGGCATTTGCTGCAGTGCCTGGAACGGCACCTGCTGCGCTGGCGGCGGAACGGGATGTGCTGCCTGGAACGGCTGGGGCGCTTGCGCCGGTGCCGGCACGTGATGCGCTGCCTGAAACGGCGGCTGCGGCGCTTGCGCTGGCGCCGGCACGTGCTTTGGCACCGGCAGTGCTTGTGGCAGCCGCTCTGGCAGCGGCAGCTGCTGCTGCTCAGGCTCCTGCAATGACAGCCGCTCTGGCTGCTGCTGCGGAGGCTCCTGCTGCGGTGGCTGCCGCCCTGGCTGCAGCTGCTGTGGCTCCTGCAATTGCTGCAGCCGCTCTGGCTGTTCGGACTGCAACGGCGACTGCTGCTGCTGCAATGGCTGGTGCGACTGCCGCCAGAAAGTCTGAGGCGGATGGTGCCACGGCGCCAGTGCCGGAACCGCCTGCGAAGCCTGGATTCATGAGCGAGTCTGGCGAAAAAGATGGGCAGTTTAGAGTTCCATCGGAATAATGAGCACCCTTTTTGGGGTTGGTAAAGGAAACCAAAGGGGCGGTTGACATAAAGTCATTTTTCTTTTGGCATGGCAAATTCGGGGCAGCCTTTGTTAGGAATGAACCAGGTGTAGGGAATGCCCAAATGAAGGAAACCACAAGGGATGGTTTGTGGGGGTCCATTCCCTCATTCCCTGCTGAGAACCAGCAAGCCATGTTTGTAGGGATCATTCCAAGTCCAAGAAACGAACAAACATCTTGTCCCCTCACGTTTCTGATTCTGGAGGTAACTTAAAGTCCTACTGTAATAACTCACAGCTCTCAAAAAAAGTAAAGGACCTTCATCGGCGAGCTCGTTTTATCTGGCAAGCTCGTTACAAGCTGCCCAGAGCCAATTGGTCCTTGCGTGTTGTCCTTTGCTCGTTGACTGAAGATGAAGCCTCAATGCCCAACATCATGGAAGCTGATAGGGTTTTGGAAGACAACCCAACTGTTCTGTGCTGTAAAGAGCCGGATCTTAAGCTTTCACGGTGGAGACATGTGTATCTCTTTTTAGAGACGTAGTGCTCGCAAAGGGCTCTGTCTTTCCAAGGGTTGGCCTTTCCTTTTCCCTTTCCATTCTTTCCAAAAAGGGGTCCCCGTGCCAACGAAAGGCCCCTGAAATGCTGCGGAAGGCTTTGGGTCGGAGGGATCCCCCCAAGCAGCTGGCTTCAGAGCGCGAGACATGGCGCTGGGCTTGGGTTGGGGATGCCATGACTTGGGTGGAGTTTTCGGGTGACCTTGGGAGAAGAAATCGGAGCTCAGAACTCCCTGCAGACGAGTGCATGGATTTACTTTTTCGAGTGTGAGGGATGGATCTCTGCGCGGAGGTTTTTGGAAATGGGATGGTGAGGGAACGAAAAGGAAAGCTGCCGTTTTGGGACCTTTCTATTTTCAACACAGGAAGGCCTTGAGGGTACGCCTTTGGGCACGTTTAGAATTTACAGGTCCCTGACAGGACAGAATCTTAGAGGCCAACCAACCCAACCCAACCAACCCAAGCTCCTAAAGGCCAACCCACCCCACCAACCCAACCCATTCTTCAACCATCATTCTTTTCAAAAACCGCTTGTCCCCCCTAGAATGGTAATGGAAGCTACCTAGAACCTAGCGTTTCCAGGACTCTCGAAGCCCCATCGACTTGCCTGAGCCCGCCCCTGGGTTTTTCAGTTGCTCAACGAGACCGCGGCACCGCACCTGGGCATCTGGCAGTGCCGGCACCGCCACCTCCGCGATTTCGGAGCCCAAGGCCCAAGTGGCCCCTTTTTTGTTTCCTTTGTGCCCGCTTTTTTATGGGTCAAAGGCAGAAAAAAGATTTGCTTTTGGGGGGTCCAGGCAGCTAAGCCTGTGTCAGAAAAGCTCCTGGAAAAGCAGGTTCGTCTTAAGCAGATCGCTTAAGGATTCCGCGTCATTCTCAAGGGGATCGGAGTATGGAGCTCACCGAATGCTTCCATCGCATCAACTTGTGCGTCATAACAAGTTAGACGCAGCGTCTTCAAAAAAGGCGGCCAGTGTGAATCTGATCCAGATCCCTCGGCCCTCAATGCAAATCTATCAGGGGCCTTCTATTCACAACCCATTCCAAAGCCCACAATGCGGCAGATGCGGAACACATGTAGGACATGGCCAGACGAATCTGCTCACAGAAGGAAGATACAGGAACTTGCAAATTGCAAAATTATTGAGGTCATCGTATCGATCTCCGATGTGCTCCCAGACCCCGAAGAACTGCAAACCATGGATACCGTAGTTCTCATTGCGGTAATCACGTTGGCTCTGCGTGAGAAACTGAAACTTCGGTCTGATGCCATTCATGAAATGACATCTCTGATAGAACAAGAAATCGCTGAAATGAATGAATGTGTATTCTACCCAAAAAAGAAGCATACACGTCTACGTGTGCATATATCTGTATCTATGCTGGTTCGGTGTCGATCATCCAAGCGTCGCTGTCTGCAATGTGTGAGCTGGCTGCAGGCACGAAGCTTGATGAGCAGAAAGCCGCAAACAATTAGTATCATTACCAAAGGGGAAACCCCGAAACTATTAGGAAAACTCAAGAGTAACCCTCAGAATATGTTGATACTTGCCCTTTGGTTTATTAAATGTTCCCCTTAGCCGCAAACAAAGAGATGTTTCCCCGATCCACTGAGGGGAGCTCGCCGTCCAAATGGAGTTCCACCCGAACAGTTCGATTCGGGCGGCGTTCATTTGCATAAGGTGAAAAGATGAAATATTGACCAGTCATGCCCACTTCCCAGGGAGAAAAAAGAAAACAACAGAACAACAATGCAGGTAAAACAAGGACCCCCGAAAAGTGGCTGGTATCCATTTTGGCTTCCCTTCTGGCATTCACCCGCCACCCACCCACCCGCCCCACCCGCCCCACCCACCGCTCCACCCACCACCCACCCCACCCCCACCCACCCCACCCACCCCACCCCCACCCAGCCCATCCACCCCACCCACCCACCCACCCACCCACCCCACCCCCACCCACCCCCCACCCCATCCACTACCCACCCATCCCACTACCCACTACCCACCCTACCCGCACCCACCCTAGCACCCACCCTACCCACTGCCCACCTAGCCTTTGCTCCTGAAATTGTTTAATTTTGAAAGCTATCTCCCACCACCCACCCGCCCGCCACCCACAACCCCCACCCACTACCCCCACTACCCCCACCCACTACCACCACCCACTACCCCCACCCACTACTCCCACCCACGACCCACTACCCACCCACTACCCACCCACTACCCACCCACCCATTACCCACCCACTACACACCCACCCACCCACTACCCACCCACCCCACCCACCCACCCCACCCACTACCCACCCAGCCCACCCACCCCACCCACTCCCACCCACCCCACCCTCTACCCACCCAGCCCATCCACTACCCACCCACTACCACCCACCCACCCCACCCACTACCCACCCAGCCCACCCACCCCACCCACTCCCACCCACTCCCAACCACCCCACCCTCTACCCACCCAGCCCATCCACCACCCACCCACTACCCACCCACTACCCACCCACCCCCCACCCATCGCAGGCCTTGAAGTCAGGCTCACGCTCGGCGTCTCGCGCCATGGCCCAGGCAGGCAGCGTCTGGCCCTCGCTCGCCAGCGCCTGGCGCCGGCACTCGGCTGCGGTTGGCAAAAATGGCGGTGGCTCAAGAATTTGGGCAGGCCAAGGGAAAACGAAAAAACGGGTTGGGCAAAACTCCCACAGTGGCTCAAAAATTGGTACCCAAATGGCACCTTGGTACATGGACGCAAAGACTGTTCTTTAATTTTGAGCCACACCCAAATAGTACAGGCACCCCTTCTCTTGAGAGCTGGGTGTCTCTCGGTTTTGAGGCATCCTCCCACAAACTCACATCGGTTTGGACTCCATGAACGTCAGTTTCCAGGTCAATTGGTGGGAGGCGCCCCTTTTGGGTTAAAAGAAACCACTCTTTTCGAGGTTTCAAAGGGAAGCCAAAGGAAGCCAAAAAGAAAGTGCTTGGGGGCACCACTTTGAGACACACCCAACTGGCTCCATGAGTCTTACCGCCATAGTCTCCACGTTCAGCGGTAGATGAAAGGGAAACCGCCCAAAGCATGATCCCGAACTGTTGGCGAGTATCTTGCTCAGATGAATCGACGTTGGGAATGGACGGAGATCCGCTCAAAAGGAACCACAAGACCGGCGAAGGACTTTCTGGCTCCAAAGTTGCTTTTCAAGGCAGAAAGTGGCACCATGCCCCAAACTACGATGGCCAAGCATTGAAGTGAGTCCTTCCCCTTGTCCCCACCTTCACGCACAAGGCAGGGGCTCGGTCTCCGAAAAATCGGACGTCAACGAACAACAACAGGGCCGGCCGTCCAAAGCCTCCCCACCTTCCATGGTCCAAACTTCATCTCTGAGTCATGGTCTTCGGCCCCCTTGGCCTTGTAAGGGGTCGACCATAGAGGGCTCACGGTCGCATGCCGATCCCAAAATAAGCCCAAGGGTGAGGGTGTGTTGGGCATGTGGAAGACTGGAAGACCGACCCCTCCAGGCTGGTTTAGGTTCGGACTATTCCAATTCCCAAACTGGGCGCAAAATGAAGGTCCAATCAAGAGGGGAACATCATCCCGGGCAAACACCCCAAAAACTTGCCGGTACAGCAACGGAATGCGGAACATGGCCTTGATGAATCGCACATGTGTGCCCTTTTTTTGTGAAAAACCCGACACCACTTTTTTGGAGGAGCCCACACGCTAGGCCTGGTCTTTCTCTCTTAACAAGCAAGAAAAGACTCAAAAAAGCCAAAAACTTGCCACACCCCTAGGCCTGGGTCCCCCCCCCCAAGGAGCCAAAAGCACAAACAACGTTGCCGCAGCTCTGTAACCGGAAGTCTGGCATGAACCCATCTTCGCCCCCGCCATCTTCGCCGCCTGGGAAGCGGCCTGCGAAGGTCGCAAGCCGCAGGTGGTGAATTTGTGTCTCAAAATGAGGGCGTCCCTTTTCTTTGGTGGGGTGTGTCTCAGGGCGTCCCTTTTTTTTTCGGGGGCTTTCTTTGAACATTGAGGTAAAAAAACAACCTCCAGAATCGAAAGCAGTCTTTGAGGTGAGCTTTGGAATGCTAAAGTTGTTTTTGACTCAAGCGTGGGGTTTTCAGCTTGTGGTTTCCGCGAACAAGGGGAACCTCCAAAAAAAGACACGCCCAACTAGGGAACGAAGCCATGAATTGGGCAGGAGGTCCTGTTGGTCTCTCTTCAAGAAGGGTACCTTCATGCACTGAGATGCAATTCGGGTGTGCCGTTTTTAGGGAACCCCAAAAATGGTGGTTTCCCTTTAAAAACCACCAAAACGGGATACCAACAAAAAAAGACTTGGCGCTTTTGGCGTGGACCAGTCCTGGTTTTGAACCTCGAAGGACCTTCGGGCCGAGCCAGGATTTTTTGTGGCGCACTGAGTTCGACTGCCGAAATCTCTCCGATTGATTCGGCCATGCATCATCACCTGGAAGAGATTCCCCCAGTTTGCGCGCCCCTTGTACCCCTTGCCCTCTCGGTATCGTCCGCCCCGCCCTTGGCCTGAAGCCGATCTATCTCCCCAGAGTCGAATTCTCACCGAGAGAAGGGCTGAACGAACCTGCAGATCCAACTCCTGGGTGTAGGGGTCTTGTTTCTGAGAAGAGTGGTTCCAGGACATTTTTGTCCGTTGCCTGAAGGAACTACACCGGGGCGAAAAAGGAACGTTGCTCAATTCCCCGGCCAGCTCGGGATTTCAGGCGCTGCAACTGAAGACGTTTGCCCATATTGAAGTAGAGCCTTCGTCGTAGGCTGAAGAGAAGGTCCAAGATAACCAAGCTTAAAATAGGGGACCCAAAAAAAGTGCTGTCCCTTTGTTTTCCTTTCAACTGAGCCCAACCAGGGTTGGTACGAGACACAGCAGCAAAGAACATGCGTTGCCGAATGCACACAACCGCCCGTGAACATTGACCCCTTGAGGCCCTAGATGCAGCTTCAAGTTGGTGGGCGGGTCAAGATTTGGGCTGTGTCTTTTGTTTAGGGGACACCCTTCCCTTCAAACCATCCCCAAACAGGGTGCCCTCAACAAAAAACTTCCAACACCTGGGACCCCCCAATCGAGATCTCCGCCCGCGCCTGGGCTTCCCTCTCCTGCAACAGCGCCGGAGGGACGGGCTTTCCAAAAGCTTTCGGGTCTCGGGAAACCAGCAAGAAGCTGAAGTCGAGCCGACCTCTCGCTCAAACTGTCCGCGGTTGTGACGGCTTCCGATGCTGCCTAACCCGCAGGAAACCAGGCGTGAAGCCAAATGAAACTTGGGGAAGAAAGGTGAGGGAAAATAGGTGGGGCGTGAGACGCGGGAACCCTTGTGGGTGTTTGAAGAGAAACAAAACCAGCGGTGCTCTCAACACGAACTAGACATGGAGCCCGTGTTGGTGGGTGGAATTGAAAGCAAACGCCAAAGGCAATTCATCAAATCTTGATAACCCCAGAAACAGTTAAAATTGACCCAGTCAAATGCCGGACATCCGCACCGAAACACCGCTCGCGGGGCCGAATCGCCCCAATCCCGCAAAAAAAGAAATGGGACGGCGGCGCCGGAAAGGGAGTCGAACAAAAACATGCTTGAACCGCTAATCTGTTTTCGGAAACTTGTTAGGATTGCCGATCACCGAAGAGGGAGAATCCAAAAGGAGAGGACCACCCACCCGCCCACCCAAGCCAAAACCAGGGCATCGCCATGCTTGGGGTGATACTGTAGACAAAATCCGCTTCGCACCAGTTGGTCGGGGGTGGCTTTCTCCCATCACAGGTGCCGATCGGCGTGGGTTTTTTTGGTCCATCCGCGAGACAGGGTCCCCTTTGCTCCCCGTATCACCCCACCAAATTCACTTTACATTGGACACCAACCGTGTATATATTATTAATATGCGTTTGTCTCAAAAGGATGCAACCCAAGATGAATACTTTTGCTTCTGGCTTCCCTTCAGAACCAACCAAAAAGAAGTCCCCCCCCTTCAAAAAAGAGACGACACGCCAACACAGGGCACCCCTGTCGCAATTTTTTTTGGAGGCCGTCGCTTCCGGGTTTACCGCGGACTCGCCTCCAGGCCAGACCAGTGCACGCGATTCGCCTCGC